ATGTTTTCTGATGGTAATGATGATGACGATGATGTTTCCGACGGTACTTGGAGTAACAATGAAGAGTCGTCCTACGAGATCGAACTTCAGGTAAGACAGCCGGGGAACACAACACGACCGTAAAAAAAAAAAATCAATCAAGTGTCCCTCATAAGGTAACAGATTTTTCTCCATTGTAATTTAAAATTTTCTTCTTTTTCTTTAAACTTCGTTTCTCCTTGTGGCTTGCTTCTACCTCCTTTTTTTTCTAAACGAGTTATTTTTCTGTCTATCGGTGTCCGTGTGTCTTTTTCTTCCGGGATAGTTAAGTTTTAACTTAGTCTTGTTCAAGACCTAAACTCGGGGATGATCTGCGCGCCTTATGAATCGACATTTTTGACAGTCCAGAATATCAATCACAAGAACCAATCAACTATAAAAATAAGCGGCAATATCTTTTTTTTACCAAACAGACTATAGCGCTCTCGTTCTTTCTCACTTTCTCAATGCATCTTCCTCTTTTATCGGTATCCCTCTTGTTCTATCTTTCTCATACACAATACGATAGATATATAGTCTCAACACTTACTAAGGTTAAGTACGGCACAAGGTCGAACATGTGGGGCGTTCACTGATGATTGAACTCACTTCAATTGTAATGAACTATGGGCCTAGCTTTCTAACCATTACTTTACGGTGTGGTGTGTTTACTGTTTTTTTTATTTATGTGACTGTGTGTTGGTTTGTGCAGGTTCGTGGCCTCTCTCAATCTACTCACCGATCCTCACTTCTCTCTTTTTTTCTTTCTCTTCTCTCTCTCTTTTTTTTTTCTTTGTCTACTCTCTCTCTCTTTTTTTTTTTTTTTTCTCTTCTCTCTCTTTTTTTTTTTCTTTGTCTACTCTCTCTCTCTTCTTTTTTCTTTGTCTACTCTCTCTCTCTCTTTTTTTTTTTTTTCTTTTCTTTGTCTCTCTCTCTTTTTTTCTTTGTCTCTCTCTCTCTCTTCTCTTTTTCTTTTCACTCTCTTCTCTTTTTCTCTCTCTCTCTTTTTTTTTTTTCTTTGTCTTTTTTTACTCTCTCTCTCTTTTTTTCTTTGTCTCTTTTTTTTTTTCTTTGTCTACTCTCTCTTTTTTTCTTTGTCTACTCTCTCTCTTTTTTTCTTTGTCTACTCTCTCTCTTTTTTTCTTTGTCTACTCTCTCTCTTTTTTTCTTTGTCTACTCTCTCTCTTTTTTTCTTTGTCTACTCTCTCTCTTTTTTTTTTTTGTCTTTTACTCTCTCTCTCTTTTTTTTTCTTTTTTTTCTCTTTTTCTTTTTTTTTTTTCTTCTTTTTTTTTGTCTTCTCTCTCTCTTTTTTTTTCTTTTTTTTTTGTTTTTGTCTACTCTCTTTTTTTTTGTCTCTTTTTTTTTCTTTGTCTCTCTCTCTCTCTTTTTTCTTTTTTTTTCTTTTTCTCTCTCTTTCTCTTTTTTTCTTTTGTCTACTCTCTTTTTTTTTTTTGTCTCTTTTTCTTTGTCTCTCTCTCTTTTTTTCTTTTTTCTCTCTTTTTTTTTTTGTCTCTCTCTCTCTTTTTTCTTTGTCTCTCTCTCTTTTTTTTCTTTTTTTTCTTTTCTTTCTTCTCTCTCTCTCTCTTTTTTCTTTGTCTACTCTCTCTCTTTTTTTCTTTCTCTCTCTTCTTTTCTCTCTCTCTCTTTTTTTTTTTTTTCTCTTCTTTTTTTCTTTGTCTCTCTCTCTTTTTTTTCTTTGTCTACTCTTTTTTTCTTTCTCTTCTCTTTTTTTTTCTTCTCTCTCTCTTGTCTACTTCTCTCTTTTTTTTTCTTCTTTTTTCTCTCTCTCTCTTTTTTCTCTCTCTCTCTCTTTTTCTTTCTCTCTCTTCTTTTTTTCTTTGTCTCTCTCTCTCTTTTCTCTCTCTCTCTCTTCTCTCTCTCTCTTTTCTTTTTTTCTTTGTCTCTCTCTCTCTTTTTTCTTTCTTCTCTCTCTTTTCTCTTTTTCCTTCTCTCTCTTTTTTCTTTTCTCTCTTCTCTCTTTTTTCTTTTTCTCTCTCTCTTCTCTTTCTTTCTTTCTTTCTCTTCTCTCTCTTTCTCTTTCTCTCTTTCTCTTCTCTCTCTTTTTTCTCTCTCTCTTTCTCTTCTCTCTCTTCTCTCTTCTCTCTTTCTCTCTCTTTTCTTTTCTCTCTCTTTTCTTCTCTCTTCTCTTCTTCTCTCTCTTCTCTCTCTCTTTTCTCTTCTCTTCTCTCTCTCTTTCTCTTTCTCTTTTCTCTCTTCTCTTCTCTCTCTTTCTCTTCTCTCTTCTCTCTCTTTCTCTTCTCTCTTCTCTCTCTTTCTCTTCTCTCTTCTCTCTTCTCTCTTCTCTCTTTCTCTTCTTTCTCTCTTTCTCTTACTTCTCTCTCTTTCTCTTACTTCTCTCTCTTTCTCTTACTTCTCTCTCTTTCTCTTACTTCTCTCTTACTCTAGCTACTTATTCTCGCTCTCATTCTCTCTACATGTTTTTAATATTTTTTCTCTCTCTCTCCATGATTAATTTTATGCCTTTTTTTTCTTTTTTGGCCTATTTCTCTCTCTCCATGTGTTGCTTTCTCTCTTATTCTGTTTTTGTCATATTTATTTACTTGTCTATCCCCCACCCCCAATTTACATGTTGGCTTAATTTTTCGTTGTTTGTGCAGCTGTTTTCTCAATTTATTTTATTACCATCTCTCCCAGCCTACCTGTTTTGACGAAGAGTCAGGTGGGTGTCTGACCCCAGGGGTAAAAGCCAGGATTCCGAATTTTTATTTTCGTGGTCGACATGAAGGCACTCCTAAACAGGAAGACTAGTGTCAAAAATATTAAATCACTCTTTCTACCATTACTTGTGCCAGGAAAAAAAACTTTAAGAAATAACTCTGTCCCCCCACCATCCATTTACGTATGTTTTTTTTTTTTTTTTTTTTATTTATATGAAGAGAAAGGAGAGACATGAAAAAGACAAACTTTACTAGAGCTACAAAAAATGAAAATCGTGGAGAGCTATGGTCACCCACATGCTGGAGGGAGACAGCACATAGAAGAAGAATATTTATCTCAGCGTCGTTTTTAATTCTAACCTTTTCTCGATATTTTCCAAGATGAGCGGGGAAGACTGTGTGGCGCCAAACTTCCAAGTTAAAAAAAGACATATCTTTGTTTTTTTGTTGTTGTTGTTTTTTTTCCTCTTATTTTCCAATGACCTTTTGTCCTCTCTCCAAACTTACTTTATTTTCCACTCTTTTCCAAGGTTTTGCGGATGGTAGAATTGATATTGGCTCGGCATGAGTAATCGAAGAGCTTAGTTCGAATTCCAATCGGGTTCTTTACATTCACTTGGATTCATATACCCCTCAAAAGGGTATTTTTGCCTATCTCCTCACCTATAGGTTAAATATTCATTTAAAGAAAAGTTGCTAATGAAATATTCCCTCGCCAAAAAAACAAAAAAAAAAAACAAAATTATTCTTACAATCTAAAATATGTTAAGTAGAAATTTAAGCGCAGTACTAGATTGGCAGCTAGGTCTCATCATTTTACAGTTGAAATGGCAGGATGTAACCATAAGTTCTATGCTAACACTTTCTTCTTTCACACTTCTCACTTCCGGCTTTTTGCTTTTTAGTTAACTTTGATCTTCAGAAATTTAAATGCAATATCAATCGCTATCTTCAGTCTTGTCAATTTCTATTCTTTTATTGTTCGCTTTCCTTCATAGTGTTTTGTTTTTCTTCTCATGTTTACTAACCTCTTGCATTTTCATAGCTTCACTGCTTTGCTTCGGGTGAAATGCTTAAAACAAATTTCAATGTAATTAAATAAGTAAAATTGGTAGAATTATTGACTACTACTTTAAATAATGTATTTAGTAAGTCTTTTTATTTAATTTGTTTGTTTTTCTCCTCAGTTGCTTAAAGCCAGACACATGTCCATAGTGGAGTTGCTAAAAGATTTAGTCAAATTGAATACATTTGTCTGCAAACGAATTGCACCCCCATCTCTCTCCCTATATATGAGAGAGATCAATTCGTTTGCAGACAAGTATGTGTGTGTGTGTGTGTGTATATATATATATATATATATATATATATATATATATATAATTTATTGTATTTCGGTAGCAATAGTTCTTTTGACATGTTTGTTTGAATAATGTCAAGTTATGTCTTTTCAAATTTTTTAACTTTTCAATGTTAGCAAACTTCATAATTGTTTTTTCTCTGACACTAGCGGCTTTATTGCTTTGTTTGAAACTAAATAATTAATCAATATCTTTATATATATATATATATATATATATATATATATATATATATATATATATAGGACTCTCCCATCGTTAAAACCCTGGATTACCGGGTACATTTTTATGACGTATGAAGAACCGAATACAGAGAGGAATTTAGGCTTTGAATTCAGAGTTCTCCTCCTCCTAGACTAGAGAAGAAGATTCTTACCTTTCTCAAGACCATCCCCGAAGCGAAAGTAATGGATCCGACTGGAACTCGGCTCTCCGATTCTTTAATCCGAGCCGCTATCCATTACTCCGCCGTAAATATGAGACACACACACAAGAAGTTATATAATCTTTTGATACTATTCCTATTTGGTTCTCCAGCTATGTATCTGGGGATTCTGCAATGTTCTCAATCCTGACCTGGCATCTTTTCAGTAACTTTCCCTGCATCGTGATGCATCTTTTCTAGAGATATTTTCATGGCAATTTTTTATAACCATAAGTTTTGTTCAAACGATGTTTTTTTTTTTTTTTAAAGTTTCTTTTCTCTCAGTTCTCACTTGTGGAAATCTCTTCTGGCTTTTTGCTTTCCTGTCAGTTAAAATCTTTAAATTCGGCATCGAACGCCATCTTCTGTCTTCGGGAATCCTATTCTTTTATTGCTTTTTTTTTTCTCCAAATTTTTTATTAACTATCACTCTCAGTAACCCATTGCGTCTCAGTGGCATTATCGCCTTGCTTGGAGAGAAACTAATATATATATATATATATATATATATATTCTTTTCAGTATAAATATTCATTCTACTAAGTATCATAAATACCAACATTAAAAATAAATTTATTTTTTTTACATAAAACAAAACCTGTTTTTATATTTTGGTAGTTTTCGTCCTCCGTATTTAATTAAATATGAACTTTCTTTTTTTAAATTGGGTTTGAGGGTTAGATAGTTACTATTTAATCTATAAACTTGTTTACAGGTGGAATATGCTTTGCTCTGTTCAAATGTGATTTTCACTATATTTTACGTGTGAAGCAACATTTCCCCAAATTCGTTTAATTAATCCTTTTTTTTTTTTTTTTTTTTTCTCTAATTTTTCTAGAAACAAATCTCGCGGATAGATGTTTGACTTTTAAAGTGTTTGAATTTTTTCTTATCGTTTTTCAATTAAAATGGTAAACCGATTATAACTTTATCTTGACACCGTTTTAAAAATCTTCTTAAACCTTATTGAAATATTTAAAATTATTTTCCATTTCTTTCGTTAATAGATTGGTTCTAGGCAATTATCTTTCTGTCTACTAAAGCTGGCGATATTTGAATTATTTTAAATGTATTTTTAAGATTTTTCTCCAAAATTTTGGCAGGACCTTTTACTTCTTTAATAATGTTTTCTGATTATGCATTTAGTTTGCGGTTACAATATTATTAGTTTTATTTATATACATTTTAAAACTGAAATACATAATTTCATCTTTGGATGTCAATGTAATCGTCACACACGCGCTTACGCACACAGCATACGAAACCATATTTATACATGTTTAAATATTATGTATGAACAATTATTGCAAGCCGGATTTTTCAGACGATTGTTCGGGAATAATGTCAACAGTATCTTGTTAAAAACGGGAATAGTAAAAATATATTTCAAATATATATATATATATATATATATATATATATATATATATATATATATGTGTGTGTGTGTGTAAAAAAAAAAAAAAATATATATATATATATAGAAAATAGGAAAGAACTCGTTAGGTAAATAATCCAAAGTTCTTTAGTATTTTTGTTATTATTTTTAAAAAAATGGTGCTCGATACAAAAGTAGAGCATAAATATAATTATTTATTTAAAATATGATACAAAGCTACAATATATTAAAGATACAAAGATACAAACATATTAAAGTACTAAGCTCTGTTACGGAAAAACAAACAAAAATCCTTATATACAATTATGCTGTTTTAATGTTAATGTCAACGTCGGACGTTTCGGTCTAATAAACCATCTTCAGGACATATTCATAAAATATAATTAACATTATCAATTCAACATGACAAAGATAATGATATTATATTAATGATAATGTTAATTATATTTTATGAATATGTCCTGAAGATGGTTTATTAGACCGAAACGTCCGACGTTGACATATTAACATTAAAACAGCATAATTGTATATAAGGATTTTTGTTTGTTTTTTCCGTATATTTTTCTTCATACTGTCGGATCTATATCCATATATTTGCTTGCATATATATATATATATATATATAAGTCGGGCTTTTCAGGTTAGTTTTATCTGCGCTTCAATTAGTATACCAATTTGTTTTGTTTTTTATGCTATAAACTGTAAGGATCACACAAAGTGCTAATAAAAATGCTAACTATTTAATAGTTAAGTTTCTACGAAATTCTCTGGTCCTGTTTGTATCCCGGGACCTGGGTAGAAAGTATCATCTGCACCCATTTTCATCGGCACTGTGTACAGCTAAATGTCCTCGGGTTCTATTTTGAGTTCTATTTAATTGACATATTTTATTTAAATTTGCTTTTTTTCTTTTTAAATCACTTCATATGTGGTTCAGATTGATAATGTCTCCAATTTATAAAACAATTTTTGATCACATAGAATAATGAAACTGATATTAAAATGAAGTCAATTTATTTCTCTCCAAACCTACGATGGTTATTTGATAATGAAGTCACTAATCTTATAGAAAAAGCTTTAGACCAGATACACTAAAGACATTTTTTTTTTACTAAACGTTATCCAAGATAGGACTCAAAAGCCGCTCAAGGTAGAGTATTGCTGTATGAGGAGTATGATATGAAAAGGAGGAACTAGGAAGTTAAGATTATGAGGATATGGAGGGTAGATAACGATTGTCCGTAGAATTGAAGAGAATATTGAATATTGGGGGAAGCATCTATACCGGGAGTAAGGTCACTTGTAATATAAAACGAGCTTTATACCAGATAGAATAATGAGATTGGTATTAAAATGAAGTTAAATTATTTCTCTTCAAAATTACGATGGTTGATTGATAAGTAAGGACCCCAATGCGATAAAACAAAAGTTAGAATAAGAAAAATCAGAATAAAAAATAAATTTCTCTAGTGTGCAGGAAATTCAGTCGTCCAGGTAATTTTATACTAAAAAATCCGAACGTCCGAATTCCAAAAAATACTAAA